AAGAAGAAGAAGAAGAAGAAGAAGAAGAAGAAGAAGAAGTGGAAGTGGAAGAAAAGTGGCGGTGACTGGCTAAGTATAACAAGAAACAATCTCTAGAAGCTATTCACGAGAATGGATAGCTTCCGATTTACCAGTACGAACAGAGACGATCAGCGAACTATGTCAAGCGTTGGTAAGGTATATCAAAGATAAAGTGAGGGTTTCGAGTGGTTCATGGGTTAGAGGGTGGAGGATGTCCAGGATAAGAGAGCAGAAAAGAAGGGAGACAGAGAACAGTAGAAGCAGGAGGGAGGCATAGATATACCGGACACCTGTTGCCATCGTATGTACGACGACATCCACTGACCGAGAGATTGTCCGACATATTTTCATATTGCCATCCAACGGTGTATAACCATGATTGAATTTAGTTAGTCTAGGAACACTGAGAGTTCCGTCGTATGTACAGTATGTACTGTGCAGTAAGTACATGCACATGACTGACTAGTGGAGTACTCTATCTAATAGTTGCTGTATCGGCGAATTCGGGGGAAGATGGCATTCATGCATGCGATGTATACCATGTACTACCGGTCTGGTACAAGATTATAGTCTTTGTATGCCTACCGGGCACAAGGGAAGCAGGGGATGGTTAATCTAGATTGATCTAGTACGTATAAATACTTCATCCAGAAAGTTACTTCTCAGTCGATACGAACTGTACAGTACGGGTACTCGCTCTACCTAAAGTGACCATGAGTATGGAAGAAGATTCGGCAGACTTGCATGATTCAGGAGACAACAAGACACCCCGGCCCTCGTTCACGGCTTCAATTTCTCCGTCCCATCCCAGGGCTCGGACCCACTAAACTAATGAGTAGGTCGACCCGTACGAAGCACGGAGTACAGTACATTCTACAGTATTACTACTTAAAACGGAGTACTGAGTATCAGACTTTAGGGGATGTTGCTCGGGGATCTGGACCGCCCCACTGAAAGCCGAGGCCCTACTCTATACACATTACCGGCCAAGACATCAACTTACTCCGGTACATAGAGTATTCACTAAATTGTCTTCGTAGAATGTCTGTGCAGTGTCTGTGTGCTGTACATCTGGGTGTAGAGTATGAGTTACTAAGGATGTAACTACTGAGTATTACGGAGTACTGTACATGTATGCCAAATATTTCAACAAGAGTGGGGATGAACAATCTGGCAATTTGTGATTGGGAAGGCGAACTGCAAAGGAAGGAAAGAGCAAAGCTAAAAGAGGTAACGGAAAAGCAACAACAAGAAATTCTGAGTAGGTACGGAGTAAATTGAGAGGAAATACCGGCTGGTCACACGCGCACCCTCACCTTACGATGAGGCGGCGATCAACAGGCTTACCGATGGAGGGAGTTGTTATGGATGGAGTCGATGGACCCCACCTCCCCTTCTCCAAGCCCGGGGCGAACGGATGGGGGGCCGACCGAGTTGATGGCCCCGACACAGTATCCAGAGCAGTGGCATAATCGATGAAGAAAATCTAGATAATGTGATCCTTCACTGAATTCTTATTCAATTGAATTCCGTATATGTTCAGCGGATATAGCAACTAAGCTAATCAATGACTGCACTTGGTACTCTGTACAGCTGCAAATCTATCCCTGCTCACTGGCTATTGACCCATTGTATGCACACGTCTACTACAGAGAACATTTAAGGTTACTGCATATACCTAGTTACTTGTAAAAGACCATCAGGCCACCGCAAACTGGCTAACCACTCCGTACCTAGTAACTAGCCAACTTGTCATCCACCATTGTGCCAAGCCAGATTGAAGGCAATATGATTGCAATGTCGACAATTTCTGCTTAGTTTTTGAACCCCCTCGCAATGTCGCCAAGCACAATTAATGCCCACTGATCGTCGCCCTGGTATTTCTGCATCCTAGACCTAGCGTGTAGATGCATACAACGCATACAACGCATTAGCTACACGGGTCTGTCGAGATTGCTTGCAATGCACATTTATTTATATGCTCAGTACTATGTGAATACTAAGGATACCTGCAGAGCTGCACGTGACAGGAGTCAGTGACTCACAGCACGCTGCGAGGCAAATAAGGGATGTGGACCACCCTCATGGTCCCGGTTTATTCCTGCCTCACTGCTCACCCTTGTGAATGGGCATGATCCTAAAGATTACAATATAGACTAACGCTACAGAGTACACGCATCTTGAATTGCTTCAACTGAAGATCTTGGTGAACATACCGTGTCAATATACATCACTCCTTGCTTGCATTTGACCGAGAGACTTCCCCCAAACACCATCTGGTCGTGACTTGGCGACAACAAGCAGAGGCCTGAAGCTCCTGCGAGAGCCCATCCAAGGCGAATGGCATATATATTGGACAGCCATCACGACCACCCTGGTGGGCGGTGAAAGGGAATCCTAGTAAAAAGTACCCTTCCATTTACTTGAAGAGTTTCGACACTGCGACTTCCTTGTCATCATGCTTGTTGAGGATCTTCGCAGTAGCCAGGTCAAAGTCTTCCTGAGTGACGTGCACACGTCGCTCCCGAAGTGCATACATGCCCGCCTCCGTACACACTCCTTTGAGCTCGGCTCCAGAGCATCCATTCATCTTTTCGGCAATCTTCGTAAGGTTGATACCTCGGGTCAAGTTCATTGACCGCGAATGAATCCGTAGAATGTCGGCACGAGCTTCCACTCTGTCATAGTAAAGATCTTGGTCAGCCAACTGGTGGTGAAACACAAATGTTTGAACAGTGGTAGCAACAGAAAATCGCAGGACAAGGGTCAGCAACTCACGACGGCGGTGGGAACTCAATCTTGCGGTCAATACGACCAGGGCGCAGCAAGGCCGGATCCAGAATATCGAGTCGGTTAGTAGCCATGATGATCTTGATGTTCTTCGTAGGTTCAAACCCGTCTAACTGGTTAAGAAGCTCCAGCATCGTCCGTTGTACCTCCGAGTCACCCGACCCCGCCGAGTCTATCCGGCTGGACCCAATACTGTCGATCTCGTCCATGAAGATGATACTCGGGGCATGCTCTCGGGCCATAACAAAAAGCTCACGGACCATGCGACTTCCTTCACCTATGTACTTTTGCACTAATTCCGATCCACTGACTCTGATGAACCGGCAGTCGGTGTGATGAGCGACAGCTCGGGCAAGTAACGTTTTGCCGGTTCCCGGGGGGCCATAGAGAAGAACACCTTTGGGCTGTGCGATACCAAGCGACTCAAACAGCTCCGGGTGTTTCAAGCCCAGCTCGATCACCTCCTTGATTTCCTTGATCTGCTGGTCAAGACCACCGATCATGTCGTACGTACTATCAGGTACTTTCTCGACCATCATTAGCGACACCAGCGGATCGACGGAGGAGGGTAGCATCTTTTCCAGTTTGTACGAGTCGGATAACAGCGCAACTCGCTTTCCAACCGTCAACTTGCTGATATCGACACCATCGGCGATGTCCACAACTACAGAGAGACGCTAGAGTCAGCATGTAATGAACATATCAAAATCAACAATGTGCATGATGCGGAGATCTTGCTTACCATATTTGCCTTCCGGGTGGACCTTGACAAGGACCTTCTTGGTGCTCATGACCTTGACTACCTCACCAACATAGGAGCCGGGTTGCTGAAGCAGGCCTAGCTCCTCCCTGAGTAGACGTACCCGCGAATTGTAATCGTTCCGTTGTGCTTCAAGTCGTCTGAGAACAGCCTGGCCTTGAATGATTTCGAGCTTCATGCTCTCAATCTTGTTGCGGTAGTAATTGTCGAGCGCCATGATGGATGACGACAGATAGTGCTGCCACGGCAAGGCAGAACTGGGGTGGAGTCTATCAGTTTCGATGAGATGGAAAAGAAAGTTTGATATATCTTCTGCCGAAATCTGGGGGAAAGACGAAGTAGATAGAGTGTGGGGCAATCAAGCAGGAAGAGTAACAGAGAAGAGATGTGTACAGTGCAATACAAGAGAACAGCGGATGGAGGGTGAGGATGAGCTCGCTCTTGCGTGTGTAGCTTAGCTTGTCCGCCCTTGTCCGCCCTCGTCGACAGGAACGCCGCCGCCGCCGCCCCAAAGCACACCCGCCACAACCCGTTCATCAGCCACAGCAAAGCTTACATAAAAGAATACAGTAACTAACCTCACGATAGTTATAACGAACTAATTGAGACGGCCCCTTTGTTCGTTATATCGAGATATTCGTTTTATCGAATGTATGTAAAAAAAATCTTTCACGTGATCTAGGCTGTCTTGATGAGTATACTGATGAGTATACTGACTAAGTAATTCTTTTCAAATCTCCAGATTTTCTTTTAAAAAATCCTTAAAAATCTCCAAAAAGTCCCTAAATAAGTAATTATACTCAATCGATATAACAAACCTTGTATGTAGAAACAAATCATTTTACGAACTTTGTTATAAAGTAACATAACAAATTTTATATGGAAGAATTAATCTGTCGGTTCTAGAATTCGTTATATGGCAAAAATTTGTTTAATCGGGATTTGTTATAGCGTGAGGTTACTGTAGTATGTGGATTTGTGGGTCATGGACTGCTGGGTGCCCAGTGATTGCCCGGTTTGCCCGGTTGAGAAGTCAATCGTAGAGTAAATTGAGTGTGACGTACTTACTGTACTCGTACTGTAACTACAGGTAGCTAGTTAACTTAACCACTGTTTACTCAACTTCAACTAAAGTGTTTGTCTGAACGTTGGTTCTTTTGTGCATTATTCCACACCCTCTGTCTTACCCTTTCCAACTAGTCTCCCTGTCTGCCACTTTCACGATATCCAGCAACTTATAAAGTTACCCAAGTACTAGTTAGTTCCTTAATCATTGTTCGGCTCGTTTGTAATATTCCCCGTGACTCGATGATGTCCCAAGGTCTCAGCTGACTGCGGGGATGCAATGAGGCTGTATCTCATGATCTCACTAAGTTAGCTGCTAACTACTCAGTACTGTACCAAGACTTCAGTTGATTACCATCACTTCTACTCCCCCTTTCCCCTCCACAGTCAGCTATTATTTCTACCCTTGATTCTTGTTTTTCTCTTTTCTTTCACATTGAAACAATATGTGACTTTCTCTGTGACGCCTTAGATCATAATTGTTTTGATAATCATTTTATTTCCCTGCTCTCTAGCCCTGTTCTTCTTGTCGCTGCTGTTCTAAGTACAGGCCATTCTCTCATCAGTGCTTTTTCCCGAACTATTCCCTTTCCATAATTGCCCAGCCCCCCCCCCCCCCCCTCTCTCTCTCAATTCTTGTGTCACTTATAAGCGAGAAGTTGGCAGAGGGATGTCTGACAAACGACACCGCCACGACCAGGTGGAGGAAGACGAAGAGCAGGACCCTTACCTCTGCGTTCCGACTGAGTCCTCCTGGAACCTGACCAACGAGGATATGTCAGGAATCATTCGTCAACAGAGGAATGCAGGGCATACCCGAAGAGACTACGGTGCGTCACCCCAACCCAAAAACGCTAGAATTTCTGCATCTCTTTCCTATCCAAGAAATCAACTCACATGCAGCAGGTACCATGGATTCTTCTGCGAAAACGGACAACGACCTACGACCCGACGAAAGCCAGCCCGA